GGGGAGCGGCCGGTCCGGCGGCATGGTCGGCGTGTCCCGTCTCCCAGCCGTGAGCTGCCAAGGTCACGGAGCCCTCAGGGAGCCGTGAGGCCGCTCCATAGTTTGCCGTTAGCCCCGGGCCCGTGAAGAGGAAGCTGGTCCGCTTGTTCTTGTGGGCTGGCGGGGTCCGGTCTTCGTCGAGTGAGAAACAATATACGGCGCTAAATATGCTTCCTACAAGCTCGGTGAGCTGCCCGGGCAGCCGTCCGTGTCCCCCCTAGGGCTCTGTTACCGGCACTGCCGTTTCTAACGGTGCCAGTGTGTGCTCATAGCACGGCACTGCGTTGCATGCAGACAGGTCTGTTCGCTGGCAAGGCAAACAGCGGGTGGGTCTGCTCAGGGAGATGTTGCTGAAGGTGAGTCGTGGAGCCCATGCCTGTCTGCATAGAATCGTAGAACCATCGAACAGCCCAGGCTGGAAGGGAGCTGGAAAGATCATCTGGTCCAACCTTTCATGGGAGGGAGCCTAGACAGCATTAACCAGCGCCCTGTCCAGTGGCATCGTGGAAACCTCCTGTGATGGGGACTCTGCCATGTCCCTGGGTTCCAGTGACTGGCTGTTCTCACTGTAAAAAAATTAACGTTGCTACTTGTAGCCACTCTTAAGTACTGGAATACTGTGATGAGGCACCCACCCCAAGCCTTCTGTCCTGCAGGGAGATAAGACCTAACTCCTTCACTCTTTCCTTATAGGGCAGGTTGCCCTGCCCTTTGATCATCTTCATGGCCCTCTTTTGACCCTCTCCAGCCTGTCCATGTTTTTCTTGAAATGTGAGGACCAGAATTGGACACAGTATTCCAGGTGTGGTCTGACAAGCACTGAAGAATAGAGTGGGATGATCACGTCTCTATCCCTGCTAGTAATACCCCTGTAGATGCAGCCCAGGATCTGATTTGGCTTTGTTGCTGCAGTACAGCACACTGTTGATTGATGTTCAGCTGCTTGTCCACTAGGACCCCCAGGTCCCTTTCAGCAAGGCTGCTCCCCAGCCACACAGCCTGGACTGGGCTCTTTGTTTATGCTGTCCCACATGCAGGACTTTGCACTTGTCTTTTTTAAACTTTATACTGTCCTTCCTAGCCCACTCTTCCAGCCTGTCCAGGTCTCTCCATATGATGGCTCTCCCTTGTCATGTGTCCACCTCACCACCCAGTTTAGTGTCATCAGCAAACTTGGTGAAGGTACTTTCAATTCCATCATCCAGATCATTTGGGAAGATGAACAGCTTGGGGCCCAGTGTCAATCCCTTGGGGACCCTACTTGTGACAGGCTGCCTGAGTAAAAAAGATTGACCACCCTCGGAGTGCAGCCTGTTGGCCAATTTTCTACCCATCTTGCAGACCACCTACCCAATCTGTATCTTGCCAGTTTGTCCAGGAGAAGGCTTCCTCATGGATGGAAGCACAGAAAGGCTTTCAATGTTACAAGTGGCTTACAGGACTTCATAGCTGAATTAGTTTCTGCTGCTGCAGCTGCCAAACCCAGGTGGATGTGGAGTGGAACCCTGCTGAAAGTAGGTCCATGGAGAATGGGTATAGGATCGTGTGAGTAATTGCTTTTTCAGTTGAGCAGCCAAATAAGAGGGAGGGAAGTAATTCAGAAGACAGCCAAAATAAGTATTACTCTTTTCTTCTTGTTTTGGTGAGGGAGGAAAAAAAACCAAAACCCCACACTTGTATCAAACAAAACATGTTGTTCAACCTGAAATGGTAGTTGTAAGCTAGAAAAGAAAGCAAATGGTTTGCTGTTTAAACATTTTCTGTTATCCTGAAACCCAGTGGTAAAGGCACTCCTCCAAGTAGTGGGAGGAGGTTCAGTTTCCCATTCTGCCTGACATGATTTGAATCTGCATCTCTCAGGTAGCTCATCTAATCATCTTATCTACAAGCACATACATTTGATTTAACTTAATGTGTTTCTCACCTTCTTGTTTTCTCTTTGGTCTTTGATTCTTAATTTATGTTTTTCTTTCAGTATTTCTTTTACCTATTTCTCATTTTTAACAAAAATTCATTACAACTTTGACAGCATACAGTCCACAGGGCTGAAGCTGTACATACATCTGTTGTAGTTTCAAATAGTCAATGAGGAACATGCCATCTGTGAATATTAAACCTACTTTTCTTGGCACTTATTTCTAAATGCACTACCTATATTACTGCTATGGACATAAATGCTTACTTGCCAGATGAAGTTTCTAGTAAATTAGTTTTATGTGCTAGAGCTCTGGGATTTTAGCAGACATTTACACCATACTGTTGCAAAAAATAACAGCCTGAGAAATCACAGAACATACCAGAGTTTTAGTCACAAAATGGCACTGAAATGCTGCAATAATTAGATTTTCTGCAATAATTAAATTTTGTTTCCCCCCATGTATTTAAAATTACTATTCTGAAAATGAGGAAATTACTCACTGTTTAACCAAATTCTTATTTACTGAGTGTTCCAAGAAACAGAAAAGTTTCAGCATGCTTCTGTGCAGCATATGGACTCCAATGTCACTTGGTAGCAGACCCTGCTTTGCTGACTTAATGCAGTATTTAATTACTCCACAGTGGAGATGTTAAGATATTTTTCATATTTAAGTTGTGACATTGAGGCTTCCACAGTAAGCTACTGTGAACAGCCTTGGAGCACTCGTTCTTTCTGTCTGTGCTTCATGCATACAAAAGGAGGGAGGGAATATGGAAATACATCATAGTTATGTAAGTTTGAAACTGAGCTACTGAATCTGACTCAGCAGAAGGATTTCACCGTTACGTTGCTTGTCAGAGCTGCTTCTTTTGTATAAAAGAGGGAGAGAGATGAAAAGTGCTAATACTGCCTGAAATAGTTCTTTTCATACAATTTTTATTACCTGGAGCTGATAAACAGAAGTCATGGTTTCAGTCCACTACCCTCCAATAAGAAAAGCAATTAGTGTTATTTGCTTACCACCATGCAGTCAAGTACAACCACATAATTACGTAAAGAGCAGAACAATGACATGAAGAAAAATCCCTAAACCCAGTCGAAATTTAAACCACTTAATTATGCACATAGTTTGGAAGTACATGTTGTTAACAGTACAATTTTCTGTCCTCTTCCTTTCCTGCCTTGTGTTTCTTACATCCTTTAGTGTAATTTATATTACATTCAGCTATTATCTCATTGTAGCAAGAAATGTTTCTTACCATGCTAACACATTACATTTCCAGTGCTAAGATCAGTGTATTTTAGATACCAGGGAATGCAAGTAAAAGCTAGAATAAAAATGGGAAAAGGTTTTAGTTCACTTGGCCATAAGGGAAAAACAATTAGCATGAGTTGATCCAGTAATGACATTCATAGTGGGATGTTAACAAGAAGGTGATACCTAAAAATGGTCTGGATATGACTTTCAAATGTGAGGTGAAACTAGTCCTTTAGCCATCACACATTACTGTGTGGAGTGCGTTAGGGGCGATATTACACCAAGACCTGATCTACCCTTTTCGGCTGAGTCAGCAAGAGGTGACATAAAAATGGGTCAGACCAAAGGTACCAAAGCATCCTATGCTGGAGAGCTGCCAGCCGTGGGCTCATATAGCAACATGTGAAAAACAGAATGCATGGAGTGAGTGTTCCCAAGTATACTTTCCAGTTTCTAGCCGTCAGCAGTTTAAGGATCTTCTGAGTCAGAAGCTGCTTCCATACCTTTCTGTTTAATAGCCTTAAGCTGGCTCTTGCTTAGTCTTTTTTTTTTTCTTCCCCTATTTATACTTTTTGCTTCCATAAAGGTTCTCCTATAGTGATCAGTTCTCTGATCTCATTATGTCTCACCCCCGGGTTGCGTGTCTTCACATGCACGTTTGATGGAAACCAATGCCAGGGACCTTCCTGGAACTTGAGGAGAATCATAAGTAGACATGCAGCTTGTGGGGAAAATGTCAGCACATTTCTCAACACATCGACATGAGGGCTGTTAGCCACAGTTCTCCCGCTCTGGCATGTTGCGTCTGCTGCTGACACAAGCTGTTGCAGCTGAGGGCACGCAGCTGCAGAAGCCTCAGTCAAGAACTGAAACCAAGAAAATGCCCTTTTGAAGGAAAAGTAATTGCACCACAGGGCTAGATTAGTATAAACGGAGAGCTCTGCACAGCTTCTCTGTCACATTATGATGCAGAAGACATGCCACAGGGGGATGCTGGCAGGATGGGGTGGGAGGAGCATGACACCCTGAGCCCTACCAGTAAAGGTGCCTCGGTGGCCCATGTAAGCGTACGTTGGTGGCAAGGGAGGCTCTGCTGCTGCAGGGTTTCATTCTGCAGTTCTTGCTCAGCCAAAACTCAGCTGTTCTGACCAAGGATGGGGTCTTGACTTGGCGGGGGGGCAACAGCTCTTGGGAAGTTTTGCATTGCTGGAGTTTGCACGTTCAAGGCTTAAGGCCTTCCTTCCAATAGCACAGCGTG